GGGAGGCGATGACCTAGTGGCATTATTGCTGGATTGTTACTCCAGAGACCCAGATAATGTTCTGGGGACCAAGGTTTGAATCCTGCCATGGCAGATGGTGGAATTTCAATTCAATAAAATAAAATCTGGAATTAAGGCTCTAATGATGACTATGAAACCGTTGCCAATTGTTGGGAAAACCCCATCTGGTTCACTAATGTCCTTTAGGGAAGGAAATCTGCCAGCCTTACCCAGTCTGGCCTACATGTGACTCCAGACCCATAGCAATGTTGTTGCCTCTTAACTGCCCTCTGGGCAAATAAGGATGGACAATAAATGCTGCCCAGCAATGATGCAGTTATCCCATGAATGTGTAAAAAGCTTGATCCTTGTGTTAGCCATTGTGTCTCTCCCAGAGTGAAATCCACCAGCATAAATTTTCAATGACACCTGCTAAATTAAATTGAATTGGTAGACGAAAACAATGAGATACAAAACGTCATTTTGAATTAAGTATGAATTAAGTATGCAATATTTTAAATCTGTAACCCCGACCCAAATGTTGCTCCTTTCTGACTATACTTCAAACTTCTAATCTTACATGCTGCTTCATGTATTTTTACATTATTTTGTCCACTCAATAAATCAATACTTTTCTAGTTTTCTGCTATTTCATTCATATTTCAAAAGCTTAGGAGGTATTAAGAATGTTATTGTTAGACCCAGGAAATGTGATAATTTTAATGAAAACCCTTAAAATAAACTAAAATATGCTTCAAATTGCCAAAAAAACTGAATGCTTACTGTAAACATATTCTGTGACAAACTTCTCATTAAGGAGCTACAATCAAATTGGCAAATGTGGGCTGGTTATAGATAGTGCTACAATATTGCAGGCCCACTGGATGAGCTCAGTTGCAGAATTAAATTATGATATACAAGTTAATTTATTTTAATGACTGGGATGACAAAGATGTTGACAGCTGACATACTACGCCCTGAACTAACAGGACACTGTACCTAGAATTTATCATTCATTGTAGGTTCCAGATAGAGTCAGTCAGGTATAGAGAGGCAACCAAAATAATCAATAGCATTAATCCAGCTGAACCCTAATATTTTCTTATTGACACATTTGGAAAAAGATCAATGTCATCAAAAGACCTAAATAGTGCAAAGAAAAGCATACTTTACGAGGAGTTCCATTGTCAATTTTTAACTGTAAAGTGACATTTTGTAACAAAACAAGGGGACATTGATACAATGGCCCCTTTCGAGACACCCCTGCAGTATTGGAAAATTGGGTTTATCAAATAGAAATGGAAACTTACATGTTTCATGTATCTTTCAATTTGCTTTATTCAAACCCGAGCACAGATATTTATTGAGAAACATTAGTAATGTTAAATGTCAAAAATCACACGGCACCAGGTTATAGCCCAACAGGTTTATTTGAAGACACAAGCTCTTATGCGTGCACGCACACACATAAATCTATGGGGTGAATTTGCATTTGCAAATTTGTAATTGCAGATACATTCTATTTTGTTTAAAATGCATACAATTTGTACACAGTCAATGTGGCATTTTATAAATTCCTACTTTGGAAATAAAACCAGTCTGATTCCAAGTTGATACACAGCCAGATTTGAAACAAGACCTCACACCTAAAATGCATTGTCTGACCTGGGATGTCACCTCTGGTATACTGAAGGAACTGATAAAACCTTTAGTTATCTCAGGGCAGTGACTTGAAAGAAATTCTGGAATTTATATAATAATGCTTTCTAACTAATTAAAAAATTAACAGCCATCTTACGCTTGTTCAATGTATTTGCATCAGTTCTATGAGCCTTTGATCTTTTGTTGACAAATTCTGTATCTGATGCCACCTCTCTCACTGACACCTGAAGAAGGAGTGAGACTCCAAAAGCTTGTGTCTTCAAATAAATCTGTTGGACTATAACCTGGTGTTGTGTGATTTGTGATCTGGTCCACCATCGTCCAACACCAGCACCTCCACGTCATGTTAAACGTGATGGAGTTTTCCTCAATTGTTGTCTTGATTAATAGGTTATAAATATCTGCAAAATTGATAGCTATTTTCTGATATTCTATATTAAATGATCAAGCTTCCCATCAAGCAAACAGAAGTATCCTCAACCCATGAAATGCACCAAACAGAGAAGAGTTAACAACTGAGAGGTTCACTCTGATTTCAGAGAATTGCTTTCATTTTAAGAAATATGGAGATTGTTAGTTATTTTTAAAAAATGACGTTTTGTTTAAGTCATTAAGTAGGAATTGAAAAGTGACAAGCCATATATATCTATCACATATTGACTCTTGTATTTTAGCTATGGTTTCTAAAGCCTTATTGAAATTATCCCTTTCCCCTGCCAGATAAAGTCATAGAAATATACAGTACCACAAATGTTATTGAAACACAGATTATGCATACTTCACCGAATTTTGAAAACAGCCTTAGCTGAAGTTTTGATGAATGTATCACTGCAGAACATTCAAATATAGTCAGACAAAATTCTACTACGCAGAAAATGTAGTTCAGTGCAACTGAATCCAATATTTACTGATCCTTTGATTTGGAGGATTTTATCGTCCTATTCTATTATTCTGATTGTGACTGTTGCATTATTGTTTTAAGAACTGAATATGCTAACGAATGAAAGACCAGGATGACACCGCATGACCAGTACCACGAGGACAGCAAGCAGCAGTACACTGAGGATGTGCACATAAGTTGCTCTGTAACTGCAAGTTATCAGTTTGTCTAAAAACTGAAAGAACAGCTGATGCTGTAAATCAGAAACAAAAACAAAAATTGCCAGAAAAGCTCCGCAGGTCTGGCAGCATCTGTGGAGAGAAATCAAAGTTAATATTTCAGAAGAAGGGTCACTCAACCCGAAATGTTGACTCTGATTTCTGTCCACAGATGGTGCCAATCCTGCTGATCTTTTCCAGCAATTTCTGTTTTTGTTATCAGTTATATCTGTTAAGTAAACTTGTTTGAGATTTTCCTGCAAAATAGGTTGCACCGATATCACTTACCAATCAGTATGAGGGTGGCAAATCTGTTAAGAAATGCAACGCAAGAATACGACAGGCAGGTTCATAGTGTTGAAGTATTCAGTTTGCAACCCCTAAGCAATAAAATCTGGCCCAGGAGCCCAAACAACATCAGTCCTTTCTATGCTCATGTTATTTGCTAGTTTGGCCAGTTTGAATTTCACAACTTAGTGATTTAGATAGAACTGTACAGAATGCTATTGCCTCATGGATGAATGAATGCAAAATTGTAACACCAAGCAATATTAATATGAACAACTTGATCATTTGCAAATTAAGGCTTTGGGTTTAAACATTATGCTTCCAACATTATTTGATCCACTTCAGGTGGCATTGTGAGAATCCATATGCACCACTGACCACTGCTTCTAAAACTGGGGACAATTGAAGCCAACTAGTTTTGATAACTCTGGCAAGTACAGACAGAGGGACTCCACCGAGAGACAGTCAGGAAAATATGGAACTGCAAACCTTATGTGATTGGATGGAAGTTGCCAGCCCAGTGAAGGTTGACTTTCTGCTTTGCTGATGGTCAAGACCCAGTTCTGGACCGCCCAGCAGGAACCACAGCTAGATCCTAGGAGCTTGATGATGTTCATAGGGAGTGGAAGTTCTAGCAACAGATCCCATTTCGTTAGCCCCGTCTGCTTCTGTTTTTTTTTGAGCCATCGACTCTAATAGCAATTGAAATGTTTGGAAAATGTTCAGTCCTTCATTACTGAAATGAAATTTGTCATAACTTATTAGCTACATACTACAGCATGTTTTGTTGATTCGGAACATTGCTCCAAATGAAATTAGTAGAAGGATCATTGGCTTTTATGTTTATTATTACAAATGTACAATTTTATGCATGTAACTAATATATGTTTCTTTAACTCATGCATGCAGTAAAATGATAGTACATATAAATGCTTTACAAACCGTAAAGTTTCAATATTGCTGAAAAAAGTCCAGAAAATATCAGTGTAAAGAAAAGCAGTATTCATATGGTATGTGAATATGCAATTGGACAATATTTTGCTAAATAATCCTGAATTTGCTAAGAATTATGTTGACTAACAATTTAGCATTATCAGTCAGGCTCACAGAGAAGCATGCATGCAAGTACTTGAAGCTGGATGTATTAATATACAGAGCCCTGATATTTGTGGACAGAAAGGAGATGAACACAAATTGCATATAATTCAACTCAAATAAACAGGTGACAGTTATTCACTAGTTAATTTCAAGGGCAATGCATTGACCAATCAGTAAACCTGCCTGTTTAAAATTTAAACAAGGATTGGTAGTTGACTGTCATTCATCATCTAACCAGTGTATTCTCCATGCTCGTGCTTCAATCAATCAGCATCCATTTTCCAACCAAACAGCACTCTCCTCTCATAAAGCAGTGTATTTAACGTGCCCTGTCCTGATGAGTTAAGATGAAAAGCTTTGAAAAAATGTGTCTTTTTGCAGTAATATTCACAATTTTATTATGGGACCTTGCTGTCCTTTTTACCTGTTTATCAGAAATAAACTCTCAAAAGTGTAATAAAAGCATCTCTTCATAATTACTACAAATCGTAACTATAGCTGAACTGCAATTCAAGGCAGTGATGTATCTCAGATTTGTACTGGAGTTAATTGCTTTTACTTTGTTCTCATGGCGACATTGCATAATCCTTGCAGTGTTTGTGGTTGGATTGGAAGTTAATTGCTACCTTTGTGTTAGTCCAATATTTATTAATAATCCATTAATGACTCACAGTACAAAGGAATTTTCCTTAATGTATCCTGTTTGTTGTGTTCCTTCTAAATGGAATGCACTGCCGTTTTCTGTAACAGTGCTGCCAAATTCTGGTGAGTGAGCTACAAATACTGCAGAAGTGTGACATCATTCTGAAGTACCCTGCCCGACAAAAAATAACCATTTAAATTTGTTTCTTCAGGTCTCTGCATTTTCTACTTGGGAAAAGGAGCTGCACAAAATAGTGTTTGACCCTCGTTATCTCCTTTTAAATCCTGAAGAACGTAAACAGGTATTACTTTTTATCAACATTAAATGCCCAGAAATATGTTTCAATAAGTGAGATTAATCTTTAATAAGTGAATAAATATTTTATAATGGGCAGATATTCTTTGAAGTAAACAAAGCAACCAAAAGTAATCAAGGAAGTCTCCTGCTGTTTAGATATATTCTCACAAAGAGGGAGATGAAAATGCATGAAGCTTACATTACAACAATTTTAAAGTAAAACTATGAACCGATATCAATTCCTTAAAGCACTGTCATTAATTTGTTTCTTCTAAGAATTATTTATTTTGAAACAGGCAGTTGTCTCAGAGAGTTGGTGTTGTTTTAAACTTACAATGTTTAACCAAATGAGTATAAAATTGTATTTGAAGTATTCAAAAAGTTTCGTAAATTATTTATCATAAAATGACGTATTAGTTCAAGCACTTCCTTGTTAATTGGAAGAACATAACTCTGAGTAGTCAAGTTGTATGTCACTTAAACTTAGTAGTTGTAGATGAGTATGTGAGTTGTGCCTATTTTGACCAGGTTGATGTAATACATGGATTGCAATATGGAACGAAAATTTTCCATCTTAAACAGGAAAGAGTTTTAAACTTTAACTTATTCCATCTAAATTGTTCTTGCTTTCGGGAAGTAACAGAGTTAATGATAATTATGGTTAGGTTGGTGTTATCCACAGCGGTTACAACCTGCAGATTGGAAAAGAATGCAATCCATGGAGAATTTCACTCTGAAATACATGTAACAGAAATATCTTGAAAAATATTACAAACATCAGGTTAATTTCTGAAGGAATATATGACACAGATGTTGTGGACAGTGACAAAGGAACATCTCTCATTATTTGTGAAGCTTGTAACTGTCCACAAGCTTTTTGCAAGCCTTTGAGCCAAGACTTGCCCTCATCTTGTGGTAACAATGAGAGCAGTGCATGTAGCAATGTGTCCATTCAATCAAATTGACTGAAGAACCTTTACTTGGACTTTACTATATTACTTTAGAATAATAATACAGGGCAGTCTGGGAGGGGTGTTAGGGTAGGGAACAAAACCTGAAAATTACAAGTTAGAATACGTCATCTTGAAAATCGCTTCTCCAGGATTTTGGGCTGACAGGCAGCCTCATTGCCCAGGGTAGATGGGATTGCTGTCGGGGTTCTAGTTGTGGAGGGCAGAGGGAAAGGGGTCATGAGTGAGACTATGGGAGGAAGAAGAATAAGTTAGTGGTTGGGGTTAGAATGTGCTGTTCTAGGCAGGGTGGGGAATGGAGTGCAACAGATTATAGTGGGGGCTCTGGTGATAATGTGTGGGTCTGATCACAGGACTGTGCAAGTAGATTATGCTTCGGGTGGGTGACATAGTAGTCAGTGGGATGAGAGGATCAGAGAGCCATAAAGATAGGGATTGGGGAGGTTGGTCCTCTTTACTCCCTGAGGGATGTTGGCTGGGGAGTGCAGATTGGGCAGCTTGTCAGCATGGGAGGAAACACTCCTCTTCCTTGCTCACAAACAGTGCTGAAAATACACTTACCTCCTGCTGCCTCCTTTTACATGTCAGGTTTGTTATACTGACGTGCCAAGGCATGGCAGCACATCAGTCATGACTGAAGAAAACAGCCGTTTGGAAACTCGGGCAGATGTTGCCTCATTTCAGGCTTCTACTTTAGCATCTACCACTTTGCGGTTGTTAACTGAAGCTCACTACCTGCATAGAGCAGAGCACAGCAGGGCCAATCCTCATCCTCCAAGAGGGAATGGCCACATCTGTCACTACCTCCACTACCTCTCCCTGGTTACGACCTGGTGTCACCTACTCTACACATGTGACATGAGGGTGTTCAATGTTGTGAGGGTATCTTCACTTGTGGAGGATGTGCTGGATAAAGTGCTGCTGATGGCTGAGAATCCTCTGAGATATCCAGCTGAACGGAAGCTCTTCTCTCAGTATAATCCAATTCTGGAGCTACCAGAGAGACTTGGTTGAAATGAAACAGATGCTCCATCAACCAAACCTGTTGCTTCCCCTAATGATGAGTTTCTGGTGGTGTTTGAGGACACACACAGGGTGCTACAGGGTCATGGGAATGATAAATACAGCAATTGTTCTACTCACTATCCATTGCTTCCATCATGCCTTGCCCTGAGTTGCAGTCTGCCTGTTTTGATGTAACCAATCTCCATCACCTCCTTCTCCAAGCCTGCCACCACTTCGGTGAAATGAGAACAAAATATTTTCATTTTATATGTTGTAGCACCTAGAGTCATTGAGACGTACAGCACAGAAACAGACCCTTCAGTCCAACTCGTCCTTGCCAACCAGATATCCTAGATAAATCTAGTCTCATTTGCCAGCATTTGGCCCACGTTCCACTAAACCCTTCCTATTCATAAACCCATCCAGATGTCTTTTAAATGGTGTAATTGTACCAGTCTCCACCACTTCCACTGGCAACTCATTCCATACATGCACCACCCTATGCATGAAAATGTTGTCCCTTGAGTCCCTTTTAAATCTTTACCCTTTCACTTTAAACCTTTGCCCTCTCGTTTTTGACTCCCCCCACCCTAGGTAAAAGATCTTGTCTTTTTATCCTATCCATGGCTGTCATGATTTTATAAACCTCTATAAGGTCACCCCTCAGCCTTCGATGTTCCAGGGGAAATAGCCCCAGACTATTCAGCATCTTCCTATAGCTCAAACCTTCCAACCCTTGCAATGCCATTGTAAATCTTTTCTGAATCCTTTCAAGTTTCACAACATCCTTCCTATAGCAGGGTGACCAGAATTGCATGCAGTATTCCAAAAGTGGCCTAACCAATGTCCTGTACAGCCTCAATATGACCTCCCAACTCCTATACTCAATGCACTGACCAGTAAAGGCAAGCATACCAAACACTTTCTTCACTATCCTATCTACACTTTCAAGGAACTATGAACCTGCACTCCAAGATCTCTATGTTCAACAATGCTCCCCAGGACCTTACCATTAAGTGTATAAGTCCTGCCCTGATTTGCCTTTCTTAATTACTCCATCTGCCACTCCTCGGCCCACTGGCCCATGTGATCAAGATCCCAATGTACTCTGAAGTAACCTTGTTTGCTGTCCACTACACCTCCAATTTTGGTCTCATTTCCAAACTTTCTAACCATACCTCTTATGTTCATATCCAAATCATTTATATAAATGACAAAAAACAGTGGACCCAGCACCGATCCTTGTGGCACACCACTGGTCACAGGCCTCCAGTCTGAAAAGCAACCGTCCACCACCATCCTCTGTTTTCTACCTTCGAGCCAGTTCAGTATGCAAATAGCTAGTTCTCCCTCTATTCCATGTGATCTAACCTTGCTAACCAGTCTACCATGCGGAACCTTGTCAAATGCCTTTCTGAAGTCCATACAGATCACATCCACCGCTCTGCCCTCATCAATCCTCTGTTACTGCTTCAAAAACTCAATAAAGTTAGTGAGACATGACTTCCCACGCACAACTATGTTGACAGTCCCTAATCAGTCCCTGCCTTTCCAAATACATGTAAGTCCTGTCCCTCAGAATTTCCTCCAAAAACTTGCCTACCACCGACGTCGGGGTCACCGGTCCATAGTTCCCTGGCTTTTCCTTACCACCTTTCTTAAACAGTGGCTCCATGTTAGCCAACCTCCAGTCTTCTGGCATCTCACCTGTGGTTACCAATGACACAAATATCTCAGCAAGGGGCCCAGCAATCACTTCCCTAGCTTCCAACAGAGTTCTAGGGTACACCTGATCAGGTCCCAGGGATTTATCCACCATTTTCCCCGTGTTCTATATCCTCCACATCCTTCTCCACAGTAAATACTGATGCAAAATACTCATTTAGTGTCTCCCGCATGTCCTGCAGTTCCACACATAGGCAGCTTTGCTGATCTTTAAGGGGCCCTATTCTCTTCTGAATTACCCTTTTGCCCTTAATGTATTTATAAAATCCCTTTGGATTCTCCTAAACCCTATTTGATTTCATGTCCCCTTTTTGCCCTTCTGATTTCCCTCTTAAGTATACTCTTACTGCCTTTGCTCTCTCCTAGGGATTCACTTGATCTCTGCTGTCTATACCTGAAATATGTTTCCTTCTTTTTCTTGACAAAAACCTCAGTGTCCCTAGTCATCCAGCATTCCCTACACCTACCAGCCTTTGCCCTTCACCCTCACAGGAACATACTGTCTCTGGACTCCCATTATCTCATTTTTGAAGGCTTCACATTTTCTAGCCGTCCCTTTACCTGCAAACATTCGCCCCCCAAGCAACTTTTGAAAGTTTTTGCCTAATACAATCAAAATTGGCCTTCCTCCACTTAAGTACTTTAACGGTTAGATCCGGTCTATTCTTTCCCATCACTATTTTAAAACTAATAGAATTATGGTCACTGGCCCCAGAGTGCTCCCCCACTGACAACTCAGTCACTTCTCCTGCCTTATTTCCCAAGAGTAGGTCAAGTTTTGCACCTTCTCTTGTAGGTACATCCACAAACGGAATCAGAAAATTTTCTTGCACACACTTAACAAATTCCTCTCCATCCCAGCCCTTAACACTATGGCAGTCCCAGTGAATGTTTGAAAAGTTAAAATCCCCGTCCATAACCACCTTATTATTCTTACAGATAACTGAGATCTCCTTACAAATTTGTTTCTCAATTTCCTGCTGACTATTGAGGAGTCTATAGTACAATCCCAATAAGGTGATCATCTCTTTCTTATTTCTCAGTTCCACCCAAATAACTTCCCTGGACGTATTCCCAGGAATATCCTCCCTAAGCACAGTCTTAATGTTATCCTAATCAAAAATACCACTCCCCCTCCCCTCTTGATCCCCTTTCTATCCTTCTTCTAGCATCTATACCCTGGAACATTAAGCTGCCAGTCCTGTCCATCCCTGAGCCATGTCTCTGTAATTGCTATGATATCCCAGTCCCATGTTCCCAACCAGGCCCTGAGTTCATCTGCCTTACCTGTTAGGCCTCTTGCATTGAAATAAATGCAGCTTAATTTATCAGTCCTACCTCCTCCAATACTAATTAATTCTGAAGGGATGTGACTTCACATTTGTCAAAATTAAATTTTCATGGAGAGAGAAAGGTTGATGAGCAATAATTATGACTTACTATGACGTTAAAAATTCACTCACATATGCAGTTAAGTGTTGCAACCTCATGCCCTTTCATGAATCTTGAGTCTATCATTGAAGTACTGTTTTTGGAGCCTGTGGAGGACAGGATAACATGGATCACCAACTTGTGAATTTACACATTTAACTGTGTATGTGCTTACCAAAATGTTGCTGTATGATTGATTCCACAATAAAGCTGAACATTATTGCTTTATTATTGTTTCTCATGTAAAATCAGGGTCTATCCCTTTAAAATTCAATTCTTCTCAACTGATGATATTACATAGATTGTTTTATTTTAATTAATGATGAACGTTGTTGAAAGTTTATTAGAATCCTTCCAGATGCTCCTTCCTAATTGCACTGTTCTTAATATTTTATTTATATTTGTTTATTGTGACTTTTGAATTCCCAAATCATTGGGGGTAATTGCTGCACTGAATTAGCTGCTTCCAAATATTGTTCAATTTTAAATAATTGCATTGAACAAATTGGGCTTATATGGGTTATGGCGAGAATTGATGTAGCCTTGCACAAGAAGTGCAGTACATTACAGTAGTGAGGGTGTTGTTGTTGTGTGCTAGGTTTAGGTCAATGCAAGATTTAAAATATTGTTTTTCAGACTGAAGGGAAATATACAGTAGTGTTCCCCAGAGATTGCTATTAGGCTCTCAGCTCATTTTTGTGTGTGTGAGAGCACAACACCATATAGGTTGTGTTATGAAAAAGTATTCCAGACATCTGGATGAATAATATGGAGACTTGAGTTTGAATTACAACATTCCCAGTGAGGAATTTGAATAGTTAATATATAAGAGTGAATACAAGTCTCATATCATTTATGGTGACTCTGAAATAACTGAATAATTGTAACAACTAATCTAGTCCACTGTTATTCTTAAGGGAAGGACATCTGCTATCTTTTCTTGGTCTAACCTGTGGACATTTTCTAATTGGCCTGTTCATAAATGTTATTAACATCTCTGGACTTGGACCTGGGCCTCCTGGCTCAGAGGTAGAGGCACTACCACTGAATCACAAGAACATCTCCTGGACTGGCCTATACATAAACAGAAACCTGCAGTAATGTGCTTAATATAACCTACAAATTAGAAGGAACAGGCCAATCGATGACCTAGTGGTATTGTCACTGGATTAGTAATCCAAAGAAAAAATAAACAAAGAACTGCAGATGTTGGAAATCAGAAACAAATACAGAAAGTGCTGGAAAAACTCAGCAGGTCTGGCCGCGCCTGTACACAGACAAACAGAGTTAATGTTTCAGATGTAGGGACCCTTCTTGAGAACCTTCAGTTTTTCCAGCAATTTCTGTTTTAATAATCCAGAAATCCATCCATTCTGGGAACCTAGGTTCAAAACCCATTGTGCCAGACGGTGGAATTTGAATTAAGTGAAAAAACTGGAATTAAAAGTCAAATGATGACCATGATTGCCATAAAAAACTCCATGTTACAAATACTCTTTACCGAAGGAAACTACTTCCCTACATGGTTTGGCCTACATGTGATTCCATATCCACAGAAATGCACTGCTCTTCGTTGCCCTCTGAAACGGCCCAGAAAATCATTTAGTTGGATCATGCCTCCAGAAAGGAAAATAGGAATAAAACTTAATGGACCACCTGGCTTTCATTGACTCAGGCAACAGAAACAACAGCAGCAAACAAAGTCCTATCAACCCTGCAAAGTCCTCCTTACTAACATCTGAGGTCTAGTTCCAAAACTGGGAGATGTCTCACAGATTGGTCAAGCAACAGCCTGACATGTTATACTCACGCTGTCTTTCAGGCAAGGTGCCAGACACCATCATCGCCACCAACCCTGGCTATGTCCAGTCCCACCAGCAGCCCAGAGCAAGGAAAGGTGTCAGCACAGTGGTACACATTCAGGAGGGAGTGTTGCTCGAAGTCTTCCATATTGACTCTGGACCCCATGAAGTATCATGGCATCAAGTCAACCATGGGCAAGGAAACCTCCTACTGATGACCATGTATTGCATCCCCATAGCTGGTGAATTAGTCCTCCTCTGTGTTGAACAGCACTTGGAGGAAGCATTGATGCAGCATGTACCTGTGAGTGGGAGACTTCAAGAATGGCTTGGCATCACCAGTACTGACCGGGCTGATGGATCAAGATCTGGAAGGTATCCAAGTTTGGGCTGTCAAGTGCCAATTAAAATTCACATCACACAATTGCCAGGCAATGACCATCTCTAACAGGAAAGAATCTAACTATCGTCTTTGAAATTTAGTGGCATCACCATTACTGAATTCCCTACTGTCAACATTTTGGGGTTACGTATGACCGGAAACTGAACTGGGCTAAGTGTACAAGTACTCTTGTATTGTAGTGGTAGAGTCCCTGCCTCTGTGTCAGGAGGCCCGGTTCAGTGCCATCTGCCCCAGAGATGTGTAATAACGTCTCTGAACAGGTCCATTAGAATTACCAATAAGTTCTTCTGGCAATAACAATATGTCAGAGTTTAGGAGTTCTGCAGAGAGTAACTCCCCTCCTGACTCCTCAAAGCCTGTCCGTCATCCACAAGGCACAAGTCAGGAGTGCAATGGAATACTTCCCACTTGCCTGATGGGTGCAGCTCCAAGCTTGACACTATCCAGGATAAAGCAGCCCAGTCAATTGGCACAATATCCAGAAACATCTACTCCCTTCACCACCGATACTCAGTATCATCAGTGGGTATTATTATCAAGATGCCCAACAGAAATTCACTAGGTTCCTTAGACAGCACCTTCTAAATCCACAACCACTAGTATTTAGAAGGACACGGACAGCAGATATGTGAGAACACCACTACCATCAAGTTCCTATCCAAGCTACATCTGACTTGGAAATATATCACCATTCCTTCAGTGTCACTGCATCAAAATCCAGAAATTCCCTTCCTAACGGGTCTACCAACATCAAATCACCTGCAGCAGTTCAAGAAGGCAGCTCACCATCACCTTTGTGAGGGCAAGTAGAGACCAAATCTCAAGACACGGTCCATGGCCCATCAAAGATATGGCTATGAGTACCTGCATGGATCCCAGTTATGCCTGTCTCTTTGTGGACTGCATGGATTATTCCTTGTTCCATTCCTCCTTGGGCCCCAACCCACAACTCTTTCACTGACCGATCAATGCTGTCATTGGTGCTGCTTCCTGTTCTCATCAGGACTGGAAGAGTTTGTCAGTTTGGCTTCCAATTTCCATCCTTCTCTCACCTTCACCTGGTCCATTTCTGACTCTTCCCTTCCTTTTTGTGCCTTTACTGTTTGTATTTCCACAAGTGGGTTGTCCGCTATCAAACCAGCAACTGTCACAGTTACCTTGATGACATCTTCTCACACCATGAGCTTACATGGATGCTCATAGCATCCATTACTTGCCTTTTTTACTACAAGTGAGGCGGTATCCCAAGCGAGTGAGTAGGTAGTGCAGAAGGGAAGATCACCACCTCATTCAACAGGACCTACCTGTTGGCAAAGCAGGATGCCAAACTTCTCTTTTCTTTGCCATGTCTGGAGCGAATGTCAGGAGCCATTCACTTAGCCAGACTGACAGTGCTTATCCAGTTGCACAAAAAGATGGCACAACTGCAAGGAATGCCAGTCAATTCTGAGATGTTCCATCTACAGTGAATGGTAGGCTGAGGATAGAACGGGATGAGAGGGACACTACAGGGGCAGGCTTGATTGTTCATCTGGTGAATTTGCTAGGATATATAGAGAGGGACCCACAGTGAAAATCCCCCCAAAAATCTCAACGCAACCAGCACTTAGCCAAATACACGTAAGAATGAGCCTATTATTTCAGTGTGCTCCTCATGACAACCTAAATTGACCACATTTCTTAGAAAGTTCGATATTCTGTGCGTTATCTTTTTGCTGTTGCATCTTGATCATATTTTAGTTTTAGTAGTTATTCTGAATTTTATTGTAATGATAAGAGTGTAAGAAATCAGTGAGCAAGGAAGAGCCATGCAGTCCATTAATCTATTCGAAGTCTATCATGGAGTCTCATCTTCATAGTCATTCACCTATTGATAGGCTAAGTCCAAATAAACTAAGTTAAACAGAATGCATGTAGCATACGGTAGGGTGTATTGGTCTGCAAAATCAATGCCATCAATGGATGTCAAGCCACATTGTAAGCAAAATAAGCATTAATTATGTAGTCAATGCCAAGGGTGGTTTAGTTTCCATAATATGGTAACTGTTTCCAGATAATACATTTGTTTAAAATAGCTATGTTCATCTTTTTTCTATGCTGCTGCTTTGCTTTCATTACAGGGGCACATTAATATACACATTGTGGACTTTTCTGTAGATATCTAATAAAAAGTGTTTCACATGAAATACATCAGAAACTAGTGTATTTTGTGAGGTTAAAAATCAGTGAGAAAGTTAGTATCAGATAAAGTTACAATATGTATAATTCAGTCAGAGATGACATACATATGCTGAGAACAGCTCCAAGAGCGATGAAAATATCTTTATAGTTCATGAAAAGTAATGTTTCAATTCATATTGCTTTCTATAATTAATATACATTTAATCATTGATTATTTTAGTAGCATAAAAAATTATCAAATTAATTTTTATGACTTGTATTGAATTAGAAAATATTGAGCCTGGCCTTTAGCTTGCAACTCATGTTACATTCCTTTCAAATTAAAGATTTTTGAACAGTTTATCAAAGCAAGAATAAAAGAAGAATATAAGGAGAAAAAGAACAAACTTCTTCAGGCCAAAGAAGAATTTAGAAAACTTCTAGAAGAATCCAAACTCACTCCCAGGTATGTTATTTCTAAATGCCATATACAGAAATGGTAATTTAAATTTCTTAGTTAAACTATGAATTATCTCTTCCACCAGGAAAGAAGTTATTGTTTTCCTAAATGAACTAACATCTTGCTTTCAGGAAGATAATATGATAGATAGTTTGAAATATAATTGAATATTGTATTGATGATTAAAGGTAATCAAAGTCTTTGACAATTAGTTCAACCTCAAAACTATTAAAATTTGTGAAAGGGCAAGATTTAACAGAAGAGGTCAGCATCCAGGGGAATCCTTAATTGTTCCTTATTAATGATCTCAGCAGATTAGTGGAGGCATACACTTGTGATGACTCCAAATCAGAATTCACAAGAGACAGAATTGTTTTAGAAATTGCTGATGAGTCTTTGTCAGATTTATTGTGGTTAAAAAAAAGTCCCTGACCTCGAGAGAGCCATGCAGATGGTGGTAAAGCCGAAACCTGGAAGCAATACAGAACAATCCTCAGTGGAGAGGATCAACCTTGGCACAGTAGATCAGAACAGTCTATTCAATTCTCGTGGTACAAAACCACAAACTAATGAGCTGACATACTTTACAGCATTCGGAGCCTCCCATCAATGTAAACTGAACTAACAATGGGTTCTTAATGAAATTAGAATCTGCTACACCACCAGAACATTCTCATCAGCATGTTACATTGTTAAATTCCAAATCTCATGCATGTTGTCTCTTTGTTGGGTGTGAACTTTGACGGGCTCACTGGGCTCATTATGGAGTAATCCCTGCCCCCAGCCCACGCACAGAAATCAAGGCAGAGGCAGGATGACACCCTGTAGTTGGCATTAATTACCTACTTAAGGGTGTAAATTGGCACTGGTGGACAGGACATCGACACCAGCCGTTAGTAAAATTGCGCAGGAGTTAGGAGTGGGTGGATAAGTGGCAAGTAAGCATCTGCTGAATTTACTGTGCTCACTTGCATTTCACACACGCTAGCTGGAGAGCACATGAACTCCATCTTGAGGATTTCCATTGCCAACTATAAGATTAGATAGATGCTTCAAATCATGCCCGTTCCCTGTACTGTGCATTTGTGATGTCTGCAAAAGTCAGTTTGCATTGGCAAGCCTACACTTCCAATAAAACGGAATTTATCTTTATATTCAACAACTAAGGTATTAGACCCCAGTGAACAATGTTACAAATACACAGAAGTGGTCGGGGATACCCCCACTGAACTTGCAGAAAAAGTTCAGGTTGACAGAACAAACTACAGTCTGAGATTTAGGATAATTGAAGGAAAACATATGCAAAAGCAAAAATGGATAAGTAGATTAGACATCATACATTATTCAACATCCAAAAAAAGCCTTGTTTTATTTTGTAACAGGCCTACTTCATTTCAACCAGGAGATGATTCAGTTGTCAGCTGCATCTGCCAACTCTTGAGAAACAAACCTCACTTTTGATGGTTCAGCCATTAAAGATAGTGGCTCATAGCAGGAAAGCTGACGTTTTAAGGGTCCCAACCCGAAATGTCAGCTTTCCTGCTCCTCTGATGCTGCCTGGCCTGCTGTGTTCCTCCAGCTCCACACTGTGTTATCTCTGACTCCAGCATCTGCAGTTCTTAACTATCTCGATCGGCCTTGCAGCTGTAACCCTAAAACATTAGGGTTTTGTCTTCACTCTGCTCACAATCACATGGTGCATTTCTTTGCATATAAGTTTGAGCTGATTCACATGATGTTACATTACTAAGATCTGGCTACAGTTAAACAGAAGAATAAAATATTAGATTAATCAAGGAATATACTTTGTGTGATTACAACTTAACTAAGTTAATCAAGAAATGTTAATTTTCCTACTAATCCTACACTAAATTCTATTTAAAAAGATCCAATCCACTCTTAAAGATTTAAAAATCTCGTCATGGGAAATTGAACTGTGTGATGCTGCTGGTGGTGTCATGACAGAAACCCTAAATGCCATGCTTCCAACCACTTTCAGCACAGACTCCACATGCTGTGATAGGAACTCATACACAAGTACCACAAGTGCACTGGAAGCTTAACAACTGATCCCATCATGAGATTAGTCAGCTGTTCCAGCTGATTTCATTCACACTTCAGAAAATTGGTCTGTGCTTGTGTACTGAATGTTTGTGTTAATCACTCATCCCCAAACAGGCATTCAATAGCATGATTGACCCCTGACTAGTGTTATTTAAAGGTTTGTCATTAACTTGCAGGTGAGCTTGTTTTGACTTAGCTCTGCTCTGGCAAAGGCTTTGGAAGAGCTGCCCGTCACTTGTCATTGGAGCCTTTCTTGTGAGCTGCTGAATGCATTCAAGGAGACCAGAGAATTCGGTCACCCGACTCTGATGCAGCGGTATCTCTGGGTCTGCAATAAGATTGAGAATTAGAGAGGAGGATGCAGAGAGGGGAATGTTGACAGAATGAGAGAATGTTGAAGCCTCTACATATATCGACCAATGGTTTTTCAGAATACACTTATCTCCATCTAATCCAAGAGAAGCAGAGATGACACAAGTTCAGCAAAGATCAAGATGGCCACAGAACTGCACTATCACTGTAAACATTAGCTACAACCTTGCATCAGGGCCAGTAGCCATAGAGGCCAATGTGATATTTAACTTCTATGCATTTGGATCTCTTCAGATGGGCATGATCAACATATCTAACGTTTCCCAATACACTGTCCACCTATCCATTCAGTGGGTGATAGAGGTCTGCTACACCAGGAGAAGTGAATCTTTCATTTTTTCCAACAACAGGAAGAAACAGAATGAGAGTGTGTGGCTTTGGCAAGACATCTGGATTCCTGTAATGCAGACTGTTAATGTCTGCGCAGATGTGATCCTGTAGCCTTCTCCATCCCTCTCCTTCTCATTTCCGCCAATGGGGAAAAGTATAGGAACCAAAACCAATATGCAGAGTATTTTATACTGGTGAATGTCTGCTATTCTGGCAGAAGCCACATTTTCTTCATGTTAAGGCAGTCAGGCAGTCCATTGTGCTTGCACCTCTAAGAACAACCAGTGTGTAGCTGCTTGGGAACAAAGACTACACCCTTTGCATATGGATGATGCAAACATGATGATAGCAGTGTGAACTTGCGTGACAGCAAGTGTAGATCGCCTGAGCTCCTTTTAAACGTCTAGTGTAACACTGAGATATTGGCTATATCATAGGATGTCCTCATGTGGTCTGAAGGAGTTAGCCATCACCTCCACAGTGGTCTCCAAGATTTGGACAGTCTCCATGATGTGTTGCATCTAGAATCCTCCATGCTTCTTGGTAAGGTCAAGAGGCTGAGACAAAAACAGAAATTGCTGGAGGAACTCAGCATGTCTGGCAGCATCTGTTGGGAGAGAAACAGAGTTAATGCTTTGAGTTCAGTGATTTCTCTGTCTTTCAAATCTTTAGCATCTGCAGTTCTTTGTTTGATTTTAGTGACAAGAGGTTGGTTAGCATGCCGGCTAATGCTTCAAGAATCTTGCTGAGCATCGTCATCAGCTTTCTTCCCTGTTTCAGTCCTCTTCTGAGTCACTTGCAACAGTATATATGTATGTTCTTGGTTTCTGGGGTGCTCTCCTTTCTAATGGTCTGGCTGCAGCCCACTCAGGCCTGGTGATTTACCAGGTGTACATGCTAACTCTGGAGTAGTCTCAGTGGCAGCATGTGTTGAACCAAGTGGCAGTACATCTTCCTTAGAAGTCTGGTGCAGCTCTCTCTATCTCTCTTCCTCCTGGAGCTGTTGTGGCTGACCAAGTATCAGTACCTTGGAACCTGAAAGGTTTAAATCAGAAAGTGAATTCTGGGTGGGGGAGAAAGAGTTGAGGTGTAAAGCAAAAGGCCTACGATAACAGTAACTGAGTTTGATATGATGCTATACGGCTGGAAGAGATTGAGGTGAGAGTTAGAAGGAATATATGAGACAAGAATACACTATCACCCTGAATATAAGTGATGCCAAGTACTAATGGCTTTATTGCAGCTGGCCCCAAAATACAGAACACTATTTTCTCCTCTCGTGCTGCTTTTGTTAGTATGGCCTCTGGGAAGATACCAGATTGATGATATTTGGCTCTCCTTATGAATCCAAATGTTTCATTTAAAACAATTGATTTTCCATGCCATTACATATTACTGGTCATGGATAAATGTAACCTTCACGGATTTGGATCAAAGACCAAGAGATCATTGAATCAGGGCATGCTGATGTATTTCAGCCCTGTTTCAGTGCCATGCATTCTGTCTTTAACAGTATATGTTCTGATTTTACATTATTATTTATGGATTAATAGGAAACGTAAAGCGTGTTAAGCATTTGAGTTTCTATCCATTTTCAGCTGAGGAGCTGTCAGAAACATAACAATGGTGCTATAATGTCAGGAAGGATAGAGTAGTTACTGTATAGCATGTTGGCCAGGGCAGCTACTATTATAAATATAGAAATCAGAATTTATGGTGCATAAAGTTGTTATGAATGTGTGACAAAACTTACAGGAACAATAGGAATTAAAGGCATATAGAGAGGAGGTGTACATAGATGGAACATTTTCTATTGTAGTGCTGTAGGACATATAATACCCCCTTGATATATGATGATATCCTCACTGCAAGTTTAAAATTAGTGATTAATCACTGCAGGATGATCAGAAATGAATCCTTAATAGATTATACAGTTGTAATCAAAGCATTCCAAGATGTTATGCTTGCTTTAATGACATTCTGCATGTCATTATAATGCAAGTGTACATGATATTTGCAAAACAAAATCAATAAATCAATCGTTTGCCTCTGTTTTACATTCTCAGGAAATCTAATGCAAAGCTACACAGCAGATTTAGCTCTCGGAGACCTGAGCTGACAAATACTATATTCATGATGAAGATTAAGTTTATGAAGCTGGTTGAAGATGGTTAATGATCTAATTGCTGCTTCCTACAATTTAGATTTTTTTTTAATATTTGGGGCATTTCAAACTCTGG